CAGAACTGGTTTTCAAACTTGGGTCAATTTATGTCCAAACTGTAGCAAAAGATTTGCTGTCTCCTAGAAAAATCTTTGAGCTTGCTATTGATTGAGCCAATGCCTACGTTTCAAAAATGAACCAAGTGTTGTTGTTGTTGTTGTTTAAAGAACGATTAAAAAAATATCAGGCAGAAATGTCATGGGCCTCTCTCCCAAATCACTGCCAATTTATCTGCTAAGGAGCAATAGCTATGAAATTGGGACTTTGTTCCCAAATACTCTCCCAAACTCAGAAAAATGGGGGACAGATGATATTCTGACAGCTAACTTTCTCACGTAAGTCTCTGCCACTCTCAATCTTTGTCAAAATGGGTTTCTCATAATTAAGAAGCATGATTCTCAGAGGAGACAAGTGGCAACTCAATAGCTCAAAATCTGCTGAAAATTCTACTGCATATTGAAGTGCCCACACACTTGAGCATTCTTACTCATTTCTCCAATCCCAAAGGCTTTGCTTAGTGAAGAGAGCAAGAAAACTATCTACACAAGAGCACTTTAAGTAGGTGTTCTCATTCTTCAGTGATAATTACTTGAGTTACTACTGATACCGCTGATATGGAGAAAAGAATATTTTACGAGAAGGAAATGAGTTCATTTATTAACTCTAGGTAGATGAAATCCTTCATATTTGTTCATCTAGTAGAAGTTATTACTAAGATCAATGTTCTTTATACATACATTTTATACAAGATCCAAGTTTCACTCTTAAAGCCCTGCTACGGTATCACCCTAATAGATATGTAACTTTTCTTCCTGTGGTCTCGCAACTGAGGCTACAAGTTCCATATAAGTGTTTTTAATTGTACTTGATCTATCTACATTTAAAGGACTTCACTCTCAAGTCATATGCTTACAAGATTTATCTTTTCCTTTCATACCTTGTATTCATCAAAGGGAATTAGGTCTCATTCTCCCAGAGCTAAAAGAGATGATATAATTTAAAATATTAAAGAATTAGTCATTAACAAGTTGCCCGAAAAATGTGATGGGTGACGTTCATGCATGCACTCATTAATAAGTGAGTACTAAGCTGCTATAACGTGCAGGAGGCATATCCTGGAGATAATGAGATCTTAGTCCTAAACTCCTCTCTAGTACTAATTACTAAAACAATGTAACAATGGCTGTAGGACATTTGGAGATTGAAAAATAATTCTAGACCAATCTATTTGTTTTTGTTGAAGGCAACAAAGGAAGATTTCTGAACATTCACGTTTCACAAAATACACCTCCCAGGTATCCTGATATTAGAAGTTATTGGGAGGTCAGAATAGAACCAAAGTTTACAAAGAAAAACTATCAACACTTTAATATCTGTACTCTCTGTATGCCTTTCCTCCTGTTAATAAGAAAGCGTCCTCATTCCTAAAAACAAACAACCTATTTCCTCACCTTCTCATAGACGTTTTTTTCTATAATCAATGTGTCCTTCTCTTGCATTATTTTCAATAGCATACAAACATGCTTTATGTTACCTATGGAAAAAATGGGTATGTAATGCAGGATTCAGGGGCTAGATTACATTACCACTTCTAAGTATTCACTACATCTTCCTTAGAATGTTAAGTACACATATTTACCTTTTACCGTGTGAGGTACAGGGCCTTCTGGAGAAGTGTACTTGTCTACCTCATTGTCATTGGGCTTAGCCATGTAATTGGCTTTGGCCAATGGGATGTGAACAAACATCAACTATGGCAAATCCAAGCAGAAGATTTGAGACAGTGCATAGTAGAGTTCTGTCACTTGCTCCCTCCTTCTTCCATCAAAGGAGCATGCCCAAGTTTGGGACAGCCCTGTCAGCTTGTGTCCAGAAATCAGAAGACTCAGGGTATACGGCCATAGCTGACCTCTAGCTACTGAATTAATGTAATCAATTTTTTAAAAAATGATTTTGATTGTTTTTTTTTATCATTGCAGTATAACCCCATTAACCTCTCCCCATTCATATTACTCTGCTCTACTTCCTAGCAAAATTCTTGAAAAAACTGTCTATTTGAATATATTTCTATTTCTTCACTTTCTATCTTTCTATTAATCCTCTACAATCAGGCTTTGCACCTCACCCCCCAATTCCACTGAAATCACACTTAGCAAGGTGTTTTGCTTATCTCCAACACCAATGATAGTTTCTCTATCCTTCTCTGGCTTGACCTCTCAATGGCATTTGGCATGGTTGTCCACTCCCTCCTTTTTGAAATATTCCCATCTCTTCATTTCTTCAGATTTACCTTCCATTTCACTGGCCATTCCTTCCCAGACACTTTTGCTAGTTCTCCTTCCTCTTTTCAATCATTGAAATGTGAGTACACCAAAATGTGTCCTTGGTCTTCTTTTCTGTTTATTTATTTTTTTTTTTATTTTTTTTTCAACGTTTATTTATTTTTTGGGACAGAGAGAGACAGAGCATGAACGGGGGAGGGGCAGAGAGAGAGGGAGACACAGAATCGGAAACAGGCTCTAGGCTCGGAGCCATCAGCCCAGAGCCTGACGCGGGGCTCGAACTCACGGACCGCGAGATCGTGACCCAGCTGAAGTCGGACGCTTAACCGACTGTGCCACCCAGGCACCCCTTCTTTTCTGTTTATACATTCTCCCAAATGATCTCATCTGGACATTGGTTATTTATTTGTTAGTTTTTGTTTTGTTTTGTTTTATTTTACTGTATTTTATTTTATTTTAGAGACAGAGCACGTGCATGAGCTGGGGAGGAGGGCAGAAGGAGAGAGGGAGAGAGAATCTTACTATTCTTCTCAAATAAATGCATTCTAAGGTTAAAAAGTTTTCTTCTGAATACAGCTTTATTCTACATACTTTTTATTTGTCTGGAAATGTTTTTAATTTGCTTTCATTTTTGAAGGATGTTTTTGCTCTGAATTGATTTTGAGGTTGTAAGTTCTTTTGCTTTAGCATTTCAAGTATGTCATCCCATTTTTTCTTGGATTTTATCACTTTGTGAAGTCACTTTTCAATGTTATTGTTGTTTCTGAAAAGGTAATATTTTTCTCTAGAAGCTCTTAAGATTTTCTCCTTGCTTTTTCTCTTTTATTAACAGTTTTACTGTGTTGCTGCCTAGGTGAGATTTTCTTCATACTTCTCTTTCTGGGAGTTTATAACACTTTTCAGATCTATGGATTAATGTCTTCCATTACTTTTGGAAAATTCTCAGCCATCATCTCTTTACATTGGGACTTTATTCTCTTTCCTCTACCCTTCTAAGATACAATTACCCTTATATCAGACCTCTTCATCATGTCCCTTATAGCATACTAAAGATGGCCAGGTTATTTGCCCCTCTTCCCATCAAGGAGCAGAATCTATTTTTCCTATGACCTTACCTTCTTGTAATCTGGACTGGCCCTGTGATGTGATTTAATTATGAGTGCTTCATTTCTGCAGCAGGTAAACAGTGTATGGTCCCTGGACCAGCCATAAAAACATCATCTAGAACTTGTTAAAAATGCATATTTTTGGACTTATTCCAAATCTACTAAATTAGAAACCGAGATGATAGGAAACTGTGAGTGTTTTGTGGCAAATTCCCTGGGTGATTTTGATGCATGATAAAGTTTTAGAATAACTGTCTAGGCAATGGTCATTGGTCCAAGAGATGATCAGATGAACTAAGGAGGACATTTGATTTCTTCTCTATGATTGTATGAACCCTAGAAGGAGGACGCTCTCTTCTCCTAGTGGCATTGCTAAGGTTGTATGATATAACCCTGAAGCTGTTGACAGCCATTGTCTTTTACTTCATAGAAAAAAAGTCCCTATGGAGTGGGACAGAATGAGACTGACACAAGGTTAAGAGAGAGCCGAGACAACTTTGTAAGAACCCTGAATCCAATTGTGCCTAAAGCTTCAGATTAGTCCTTAACTTTTTAGTTATGTGAACTTTTTTTTTTCCCTCAAGCTAGTTTGATTTAGTTTCTGCACTTAGAACTAGAGAATCCTGACTAATACACAAGAAAAGTCCACTTCCTCTTCCAAATGATAATCTCATGCAGTGCCCCTAACATATAAAATAGATAATTACAGGTCTTCTCTGAATGGAGCAGAGATAGAAAACTTTGAATCTTACCATGTGGCTTTTCCCAGGCCTCCCTCAGCAACTCCTGGAGACTTTTCTCAGAACAACCCTAAAGTTCTAGGCAATGTAGATTAAAACCTTTTGGGTAGATTATGACATAACTTCTTCTGCCTGATTTCAGTTGCAGCTGTGATGGAAAGTTGCTTAAAGTTGCCCAACTCAAGCATCCTGCTGTGTGTCTCTGCTTGTCTGTCACTGGGCTTTCTCTCAAGACACTAGGTTTCATAGAAGTTCATGCTTCTGAGGTCAAGCTTCTAGAGGGATGGGTACAAAAGTGTCCTGGTGTTACATCCTGTGGAAGCACATTTCTTAGACACATTTTCTATAATTCCAGACGATCTCCAGTGGGATTGGGCTCTAGGGACCCATGGAAGTAACAAGATCAATGCTATATCTTCTTTTTCCTTTTTTCCCTTCCTTATAGCTTATTTGTGTGTGTGTGTGTGTGTGTGTGTGTGTGTGTGTGTGTGTGTGTGATTACTTCCAAAATAAGCCACCTATACCCAGTCCTTTTCTCTGATTCTGCTTTTGAGAAAACCTAAACTAAGACACCAATGTTATAAAGTATAAAACTGGGTGTTAGAGTTAACTTATGAAATAGGCTTAATCATTTCCTTTGTCCAGGCCTTAGATGCTTCATTTGTAAAACAAGGACATTGAACTAACTGCTTACTTAGTTTATTTTAGCTCTGAATTATCAGGTTCCTTCTCGCTTTTATGTAATTCTTCATACTGTTTCAGAATATTTGTGAATAATTACACATGAAATGAGAATGATGAGGATGGCCAATCTGAACATACAGGCCCTTGTGGTTTTTCCCTCTTTTCTAAACACCTTTATTCATTTTTCTCCATATTTTTCCTCCAGATGACGTGTCTCACACTTCTCCTTGGTTGGTCCTTGTAGATGTGGACCCAGAAAAACAAGGAGATATGCCCAGCCCTGAGCAGACTACACAGGGCTATTTTGACATGCCAGAAGCTCTCAAAACCACTGATATTCAGAGCCTCGTGTGTATGTAGGACATAAAGATTGAGAGTAAAAACAAGTATAGACCAAATACAATCAACTATCTGGTTGGCTAAACACAGCATAATAGACTTAGTACTTTAGGGCTGGAGCCAAAAATACTCAACAAAAAATGGCTTCAATTTCATATTGATTAAAAAAAATGGAATGTTACACCTGGGGATCCAGCTATAGATTTCAATCTACTTTTCCTTGTAACTTGAGACAAATTGAAATCTATGATAATGAACACAATTAGGAAGGGAAAGTCTGTTCTCTTCTTCCTTTAGCAACTAGAAATGATCAATTTTAAACTATATTGTTGTTGTTGTTTCACATGGTGGTGGCTTCCAATGGGGCCTTAACACAATGATTATGTTGATTGCTGTCCGGAAAAGAAGAGATGGAAGAGATGTGTTCTGTTTTAAAAGGAAGCAGGAGGACTGTGGAGGCTGTGACACAAAGGACATTCCTGCATACTGTTGTTGTCAGGCGAGAGATTCCCCCCACACTCTCCAAGGACTTCCCTTGGGCTGGTCTTAACACAAGAGGGTTAGCAACCACCTGCAGAGGTTGTTTAAGGGATTCATAAAATGAACAAATCAGGAGACTAAAGATGCTGGAGAGGATGTGGAGAAACGGGAACCCTCTTGCACTGATGGTGGGAATGCAAACTGGTACAGCCACTTTGGAAAACAGTGTGAAGTTTCCTCAAAAAATTAAAAATAGATCTACCCTATGACCCAGCAATAGCACTGCTAGGAATTTACCCAAGGGATACAGGAGTACTGATGCATAGGGGCACTTGTACCCCAGTGTTTATAGAAGCACTTTCAACAAGAGCCAAATTATGGAAACAGTAAATGTCCATCAACTGATGAATGTATAAAGAAGTTGTGGTTTATATACACAATGGAGTACTATGTGGCAATGAGAAAGAATGAATTCTGGCCTTTTGTAGCAACGTGGATGGAACTGAAGAGTGTTATGCTAAGTGAAATAAGTCATACAGAGAAAGACAGATACCATATGTTTTCACTCTTATGTGGATCCTGAGAAACTTAACAGAAGACCATGGGGGAGGGAAAGGGGGAAAAAAAGTTACAGAGAGGGAAGGAGGCAAACCATAAGAGACTCTTAAAAACAGAATAAACTGAGGGTTGATGGGGAGTGGGAGGGACAGGAAAGTGGGTGATGGACATTGAGGAGGGCACCTGTTGGGAGGAGCACTGAGTGTTGTATGGAAACCAATATGACAATAAATCTCATATTTAAAAAAAAAACTCCACCAATGGATATTAGTTACGGTCCAGTTATGTGGCTACATCATGGATGATTTTTGTGTGCAAAATTGTAAATTTAATTAAATGAAGAAAGTTACTACTTATGCTTTATTTATGGATTTTTCATGCCAGAAAAAAATAACAAAAATAAGTTTCAATACTAATAAAATATAACAAAATACAAAACAAACAAAAAAAAGGGATTCATGCAGAGTTTCTTTCGATGGGTTTTCGCTTACTCCATTTAGTGCTTAGCGTTTGAAATTCCTTTGAGGTCAGAGCCCTTTCTTTGCTAAGTAAAGAAAAACTCCAAGGGAAAACACCCTTCTAGAGTTATAGTGCAGAGTCCTGAGTTGGGAGTCAGGAGCCAGAATTTTTGTCTTTGCTCTGCAGATAAATAATTTTGTGAAATCAGGGAGGTCACATAACCTTTCTCTGGTTGGGTCTCCACATCTCTAAAATGAGTGGGATTAGAAACAGTGATTTCTGTCATCCTTTGCAGCTCTAAAATCTGGATTATTGATGGGAAATAATGCTAATATTTAAATGGCAGATATTTTTTTTTTTCTTAGAGTGGATCAGACGAGGAGAGGTGAGTATCCAGGCTTAGAGAATCCGAAAGTGGCCATGGATAGAGAAAGGATGAAATGTGTTTCTTTACAAGTTTTACCTCTCATGCTTATTACCATCCCATCTGCAACAATGCATGAAATGACATAAAATATAGTAGGAGGCTTAGAATAGTCTAAAACTAATAACTTTTATTGAAAGACAGACCTAGGTTCTAATCCTGACTCTGTCACTTATATGTGGTCACCGTAAGTTATCTCACAGTTCTGAGCCTCAGTTTATACACCAATAAAATGAGGATAATAATACCTTCATTAAGGGGTGTCAATGATCCTGGGAAGTGATGGTCAGGAGGAAATACTCACTGGGAGGAAGATTATAAAGTTTTATAAGACAATTTTGTCCTCTGAATGACATTGTGTGTCTCTCTAGTTACAGAAGATGATAGAGTTCTTCTATCTGCAGGGTATTAATGTGAAAGATGGAGGGAGTCACTGGGCGTGCTAATGCTTTGGTAATTACACCAACAGTTAAGTTACATTATTATTGCTCAATGCTGTGTCATTTCAAAGATGGCAACCAGTGTTGATATCATTAGAGCTTGCAACATTTTCCCAAAGTGGTGATGCATCACAGATCTCATCAATATCACTTTGAAGATGGACTCAGATCCAGACACATGAAAAGCAAAAGCATGGTTATGGATCATTGCTGTGCAGCATGTGGGCTGTGTTCACACAGAAACAGTCTGAAATAACTGAAAACACTATTTTGATGAGAATAGTCTGCAGTGAAACCCATGCTTATTATTAACACTCATGCTAATGTCAAAAAATCTTATTAATTTTGTTGTATTCTCATTGATTTGTTAAATGTAAAGCTTCAACCATAGCAAAGAGTAAAACATCTAAGGATATATTTTAGTTGACACTGGAAATTCATCATTCCACAATGTGCTCTTTATACCTCGGAGATGATTTGATGATTAAAAAAAAAAAAACCCGCTAGTATAATCCCTGATTTTTTATTAAAAGGCTTTTAAATTCTTCTCTAGACACGTGACTCCCCATCTTTCTAGTATTATGTGATCAGTCTCAAACCAAGGGCATTTGAAAATTCATCTTAACTCTGCGGATGATGGAGTTTGAAATTCTTAAAACTTCTGAAACAGTTTTGGCCTAATATGAGGACCACTTAAATTTAAAATACTGCAACTTTTCAGCTCTGCCTATTATCAAATCAACAAAATTTATTCCTCCTTTTATTTCCGTGTAGTAGGAATAATATTTAGATTTCCCACAGCTCATTCCTGCAGGCTGGGGGATTGAGATGCAGATTACTTATGGCTACTACGAAAAGTTAGTGTAGGAAAACATGCAAGTTTCCATCTTAACTTCTTATGTAACACTGAATACCAAGTACGTACATGTGGAAAGGAAATAATCATCTTCATTCTGAAGATTACTGATGAGCATGACAAGGTCCCAACTCACAGCATCCCTACAAAATCATTTTATTAAGAAAAATTTCTTCTATTGATAGAGAAACAGTGGGCTGTATATTTCTGTTTCAGTAGAAAACTACCCAGCTTTTATTTAATTACCGTGGAGCGCCTTTATCCATTATAATGGATGTACCATCAAGCAGCAACCAGATTTATTTCCTGAAACACAGGAGCTTTGCAGTGTATAGTAAGTAGAATGTTTCTGTTAGCAGAGAATAAAAACAGCTGAAGGAACTTAGTGATGTAAAGCATGCCATTGGACCTCTTATAATTGTATTCTATTTGCTAAAATTTCAAAATGAGATGATAAGGGAGGAGGAAATAGTATGGGAGGAGACAGAAGAAATGATGAAAGAAAAGGAGACAGAAATAACTTGAATTGTTTCTGCTTTGCAGCTTGTTGAATCCTTTCAAGGATTTCCTGCATGGTTTGGTTGGTATTCTGATTATGAGATGGTTGGATGCTAGCTGTGAGCTCATCACAGGGTGATCATCTTGGTATATTACTGTATCACAAAGCTGTTATCTGGTTAAATTAGTCTTGCCTGGACATCTCTGCTCTGGCAGGATAAATTTGTGAGACATTAATTTGTTTTATTATGGCTGATGTGAAAGAATTGGTATGACTGGGAGCTAGATGTGTGATATTTACAAATGATGGTCTCTTTTTTCACAATGTAGCCTAGTCTTTTGTGTTCTCTGTCTCAAGAGCATTTCCTAGGGCAAACATAGAAGTTGTTTGAAGGCAATGTTTCACTTAGGTTTTGTGACTGTTGAGGAAGAGGAAGCAGAAGCAAGAGAGAGATGTGAACTTCCCTAGAGCGAGAATGGGGTGGAGGATGGTGGATCCAAGTACATCAGAAACCAGCACCCTAAAGTTTAGTTGTGTGCCAGGTGGTGGGATCTCAGAAGGGATTGGTGGTGTGTCCAGACTGTGGAATCTGCAGGTAGGCTGGTCAGAGGATGACCTTTTACCTAGACTCACTTTCCCCAGAGTCAGCTCTTTATCTTGGCTTGGCCTTTACATTGGAACCTGAAAAGACTTCTAGAGTAGGGGTTGGGAGCAGAGAGAATGCCTCTAACGGTTGAGGTTGAATCTCCTGATAACTTGACAGGATGAAGACTTGCATTAGTTTGCTAAGACTGCTGTAATGAAATACTACAAACTGGATGGCGTAAACAACAGTAATTTATGGTCTCATAGTTCTGGAGGCTGGAAGTCCATGATGAAAGTGTCAGCAGAGTTGGTTCCTTCTAAGCGCTGTTAAAAAGAATTTGTTCCATGCTTCTTCCCTAGCTTCTGGTGGTTTACTTGCAATCTTCAGCACCCTTGGCTTGTAGACATATTATCCTGATCTCAGTTTTTGTCTTCATCAACTATGCACATATTGGTTGTTTTAGTCATTCAGGGCTGCTGTAACAAAAATACCACAGACTGAATAGTTTCAAAAACATACATTTATTTCTCACAGTTCTAACGGCTGGGAAATCCAAGATCAAAGCACCATCAGAGCCAGTGCCTGGTGAAGACACTCTTCTTCGTGTTCAGATGTCTGTCTTTTCCTGGTATCCTCACATGGCAGAGAGGACAGAGAGAAAGTAAGCTCTCTTGCGTCTCCTTCTATAAGAGTATTAATCTCATTCAAGGG